TATATATATATATAGATGTCGATTTTATAAAAAATTAATTGGAAAATTAAAAATTAAAGGAGTACAAGGTAAATGATAATCCAGAATGAAAGTTGAAGAAAGAGAGAATAATGCGCATTTCTTTCTAAGAACAAAGAAAAAAACCGCTTCTTTTTTTTTCCTTCTCTTCTTCAACTGCACCAGTCGGACAAGGAAAGTATCTGACTGTCTCTTATCCTCTCTACTAACTTCTGACTTCTTGCCTCCAACGGGAGAACACGGTCTATCTATATAAGTCTATGGGAGAAAAGTATAATCTAATAGGTAAGCGAACGAGCCTCAGATAAGAAGACTGAGTACTTCTATTCTCTGTAGGGTTTGCAATAAGAATAACGATGATTCATGTGTTGGCTATAGGAGCCGGAGTGAGAGAAGCGCTTGAGGCACTTGGAGCACTGGAAGGGCTTTTCGCCGCTGTGCAGCCGCTTGTGTTCAGTCAGATGATGCTTGTGCTTGAACGCTCTTGGACACTCCACACATTTGTAGGGCCTTTGCCCTGAAACATTTATCAATCTTTGTTTTGTTTGCGTTCGTAATAAATTTTGTTTAGAAAGTACGAAGTAGTTTAAGACAAAAAATTCCATGCTGCCTTAAGATTCCTTGATTAACTTAGATCAGCATTTTTCAATCTCTTCAATTTGCGGTGCACATTAAATAACGAACTAAATTATTTCACACTAATTATTATATATTGAGAATTGGAAATGAATTAGTTTTCATATGTTACTTATAATGTCTTTGACGGACAAAATTTTTGCGAAAAAGTACAGAAAACCTACATAAATTGAGACAAGAGACTTAGAAATTCTTAAGTTTTTGTGGAAAACTTAAAGTTTAAAATCTTGTCTCAATCTATGTACTTTTTCGTAAAAATGTTTTCGCCAGCACTGGTGAAAATTTTTCTACTAATTTTTATACGAATTGGAACATTTTTCAGAAATACTCAGAAATATTCGGAAAGTTTACATCTTCTCTCAGAACTTCTCGTTCAAATGAATTCTGAAATTTCTCCCATAATTTTTAAAAAGTATTTTTAAATTTTTTAGATTATAATATTTCATTAGAAATTATACTTACAAAAAATCTTATAATATTTCATAATTAACATACATGAAAAATTCTGAGAAAAGATGTAGATTTTCTGAGAATGTTCCAATTTGTATAAAAAAATGTGAGAAAGTTATAAAATTAGAGAAGTTCTGAAAACTTATATAGAAATTCTAAAAAATTATATGAAAAATTCTAAGAAAAATTTTCACCAGAAAAAGGTGATAAATAAAAGATGTTATAGATAAGAAAGTTTAATAATGGATAATTTTTGAGCGATGATATATCAAAGATATAAAACTTGTGCTTACAGAGCATTTTTGATACACTAGTTCAAAACTATCTATTATTGATGCCTTATGTCTGACATCTTTTGTTTACTACATTATAAGCTATATTATATGTATGTAAAAATTAACTCATTTCACTAGAATTAATTATATGTATACGCAATTCTGCATATAATTAAGTAATGAGATTCTTTGAAGTATATTATTAGATGCATACGCTTTAACGCTGAACATAGATTTTTTTTTATCAACGCAACATTCAGAAATAAAAAGTAAAGTTCTAAAATTTTAATTTTTTATTTTATCATTTTGAAAGTAATTTTATTGTAATGACGATATCACTTTGATTAAAATGAGGACAAATATAATTTTATTTAGATAATTTTCATAATTCTTAAAATATTTTTATTTCGTGTTTTACTCACTTTTTTACTTATTTAAAAATTTTTTCATTTTTTTCATTCTTTTAAATTTCATGGTACATTTGAACTGTTTCCAACTTATTGTAGTATACATTTAACACCGGTTGAAAAACTCTGACTTAGTGTTAGATAACAAAAAAAAAGATTTAAAAATAAAAAATTGATAATTCTAATTTATGAGCTTTTAATAAATTGTTAACAAAATCTTATTAATATAATATAATAATTCTTTTAATCAGTTTTAGGTATATTTTAGTAAATTTTAGTCAAGAGAGAGAAAGATACAACTGTATTTTATTATAATTTAAATTGAAATTATAAGAATTTGAATTTTGTAAAAGAATAGTTTCTATAAAAAAGAAGACTTATTCATTTGAATAAGTATTGTATCTCGAATTTCTGACTTATCATTAGATAATGACTCTTAATCGTTGCATAAAATTACGAAAAGTTATAATATATTACGGTAGTAGTAATGTACTTACCGGAATGTTCATACTTGTGTCTCGTAAGGGAACTGTGTTTGGAAAATGTTTTCTCACACCGATCACAGAAATAAAGACCCTGCTCGTTTTCTGTTGCTATAGGGGTTATTTCCGATTGTGGTGCAATTTCGCTCTCGCCCTTTGCGTTCGCTTGATTTTGATTCTAAAAGATGATACAATAAATATGAATTATACATTCGTTTATAATTTAAAATCACTTAAGCTTATTTTCTTTCATTACCTTTGTGATTATTTCTCCACTAGGAGGTATACGCTTAGTTTCAATGGGATCAGTAGCGGTTTCTTCGTCTATGACTAAAGGTAAATCCTCGAGGTCATCGTTGTCGGGGGGGACAGTTGGAGCTGCAATATCATCCTTTTGTTCGCATGGAGACGAGGTGTTTCTGCTTGAGGTATCACTTTCTTTGGTTGCTGATATAACAAGTGCTTCTTTCTTCGATAAATCCAAAGGCTGTTCAATAATAGATGGATTCTCTGGAAGTGCTAAAGGTACCAGAGCTGGTGGTATTTTTGATTCTCTTCGATCCCTGGCACGTGAATTTTGAAACCAAACCTATAAAATGATCATATAATTAATAATTAATCACAATTATCACAAGTTTATTAAATATTATTAAGCTTATTAAAGTTTATTAAGTTATTAGTTGTTTTAGAAAATATTCTAACTTTCAATCTAATTCTCTCATTTAGACAGACAATTTAATCTGTCTTTATTTTGCATACCTGTACGACACGAGTAGGAAACTTGATGTAATCAGCGATCATGATGATCTCCTCCTTTTTAGGTCGCGGATTGATGGCATAATAACCTTTCAAAACAGCAAGCTGTTCATCATCTATGAGCGACCTAGCTCTGACTCTTCTACCATGGTCGTTCTGAGTCTGGTTGCCCTCTTCTTCATCTTCCGAATCCGCCTCAGAACTTTCCTCCGCTTTTTTCTTGGCTGATCTCGATGTTGGATGATTAATATTCTCGAGCTTCGCGGCTAAACCTTCACTTTGTGAATCATATTGATCCGTTGTGCCCCAATCCGGACAATGTGTCATTTCATTAGACATTTCGCTATCTTGATCCTGTAAATAAGATTCTAGATCACAAACAGGAATGATTGCATACAATTTTTTACCAATGACAACGCAATATTCAGAAATGAAAAAACTAAAGTCCTGAAAGTTTTTTTATTTTATCATTTTGAAAGTGGTTTTTTTGCAATAATTTCACTTTAATTAAAATCAGAGCAAACACAATATAATTTAGATAATTTTTACAATTCTTGAAATATTTTTATTTCGTGTTCCACACTCTTTTTTGCTTATTTCTAAATTTTTTCACCTATTTCATTCTCTAAAATTTCATGATACACTTGGATTGTTTTAATTCAACTTACTACAGTACATCGATACCAATTGAAAAATCCTGACTTACTGTTAGATAAAAAATTAAATTTTAAAATATTCATAATTCTATTTTATGAGTTTTCCATAAATAATTATTAATAAAATCTTATAGCTAATTCGACTTGCACTCAGAGGTGCACGTTAAAGCTGTATATCGTACATAGAAAAAGTTTAGATATTTTTTTATTTATTATTTTATTTAGAGGTCTCTGTCATCTTTTACAATAAATACGTTATAATTCGAAATGTAATCTAAGAGAGTCTACAGTTATTAAATTTAATTATTAATTTACATGTTGTATTATTTTTTATATATTTCATATATTTAACTTTTATATATTTAACTTTTAGAATTTTATTGGGTTGTCCGGAAAGTTCGTGCCGATGTTGAAGGCAAATTGAAACGTAGAAAATTTTAATTTAATAAATGTATACTAAAATTTAAATTTTAGTCGACACAAACTTTTCGGACAACCCAATACTTTGTTGTCCCAATAATAACAAATTAATTCTCACGTGAACTGGACCTTTCCCCGCATAGAGCAGATAAAAAAGATTCTCTCGTTAAATCTCTCATTATATACCTGGTAATCCTCTTCGAACTCCCGTTTCATCGTAGCTGGAGACGTGGATAGCTTTCGCATGTTCGCTTCAAGCAGCTGCTTCGTCACGGAGGTGTTTACAGTTTCTAATATTCGTCGGACTGCATCCAGACCTTGCAACGGATCTACCGGTGCGGGAGACTCCTTGCCCTCAGTGCCCTCCGTTCCCTCAGAGTCTGCTGTCGATGGACTCATCACTTCCCGATGCGTCTCAAATTGCTCAGTAATGTGGTCGAATCGCTTAGCGTGCAATTGGTTCAGCAACTTGCCTATCGAAGACTGCAGGAAATAATTTCCGAATCCCATCATGTGAGGCAACAGAGTTGGCATGTCATAAATACCTGCATATTAAACCATTCAAATTGAAGAATTATGATAATCAAAATGACAGATATATCTGAAATCATTTTAAAATGAAAATCCTAATACCAAAATACTGAAGCAATATTCATTTTTTAATAAAGTGTTTAAAGTTGACTGAAATTGTTTGAAATTCGTGTGCTCAAATATAACATGTCGTGTAATAATAAAGATAGGTTTAAGCATCAATTCTATTCTTGAAATTGGTATGCATAATTATTACATTCATTATCATATATGTGCCGCGCGAATTTCGAATAATTTGATCGATGAATCTTATATCTATTTAAAAATTATTATATCCTCGGCACTTTTTCATTATGATTTTTTTAGCATAATCTCAAAAGTCTATTATTACGAGAGACTTAGAATATAAATATAAATGTAGTAATATATACATATCTATATTTTTAGAAGAAATATTGATCTAAGTGATAAAATTAATTACCTGTTCCCTCCCTTTGTATCTCTTGATACTCCGACGGCGATAACTTGGGCAGAATCGGCAGAAATGTATTATTGTTGGCTGTCAGCAGATCGACGTCACGTCGTCCCGATAAAGCCTGATGCGTCTTTTTCTGTCCCCGATCAACATTGGTTATGGTGTTCTGCCTCGATTTTTTCAGATTCATTATCAAGCACTTTTTCGCTGTCATGTGGCTTGAATACGATCCAGAATGAGAGAAACGCTTGCCGCAATTGTTGCACTGGAATGGCTTCTCACCGCTGTGAATGCGCAGGTGTTCCTGCGAGAAATGGAGGAAGACGCGTTTAAATTTACATATTTTTTTCTCTTTTTTTTATTCCTTTACGATTTATATAACACGCAAAGAGAAAGAGATAAACTCAAAGTAGAAATGGATACTAAATTAAAGTCGTTAATATCGGTGATAAAGATAAATAGAATCTAATCTCCTCTACAAGGAAAAGTAATATATAATAATAAAAAGCAAGAAATGTAGTAAGAAATAATAAAATAATATTACATGTAAACATAAGACACGCTTATTATTAATATATAATAAGAAAACACCTTAAGATGATGCTTGAACTTGAAGGCCTTCTCGCAATGAGGACATTTAAACTTTCGTAAAACAGCACTTTCATCATGGCTAATCATGTGCCTCTGCAATCGGTAGACGTTGGCAAAGGTCTTGCTACACACCTTACAGGACTGTCGAATTATTAAGAAGATTAGTCAAACAAAGATAAATAGTTACTCACGAAACTAATCAGTTCGTCATTACTACAAATTTCCTTTGAAAATTCATGAACAAAAATATCTGTAGCGAGAGGTCAAAGATATTTGTTCGTTTATATGTTTATGTAAAACATATTCATCGAGTGTTTTCTTCGAACAATTCATTATATTCAGATAATTTCTGTGTAGTATATTTAATCATAGTTTCATGAGTATATGTGAATAGAAAATATTTTAATACATTATGAACGCACGCTATATTTATACTTAAATTTTTCTTCAAGAATTATATGCAACTAGTAACAAAATCAATCGATCTCTTCTACTTGTTTTCTTAAAAGAAAACTTACATTCTTAATTCACTTTTAATCTAAGAGAAATATATCGAAATATACACATATTTATTTTAATCGCATTAATTGTGCGTATTTTTTATTACACGTTGCAATTTGTCGAAATTTCAAATCTAAGATACCTCCATAAGAAAAGTTGAGCACATTCAAAATTAGTACGATTCAGCACACAATTCTATAGATAATATTTTTTCATAATTGTAAAAAAAAATATATATAAATATTTAATGAAAGATTGACGTCACAAAATTACATATTAAAACGTTTTAAATAGTAATTAAAAAAAGAAGGCAGAAATATAGAAAAAATTTAGAAAAAATATAAGAACCCTATTTGTCTCCATATATATAATATCATGAAATTAAATATATAATTAACCATCATTTGAGTTGTGTATGAATAAGTTATTGTATAAAGTTATTATCTACAGAAATTCATCAATTTTTATTTACCTATTTATTAACTTTATAAATTGCAAGCTGGATACTTCGCATCTCACACTATCACTTATAACTTTACGCGTTACTCATTTATATATGCTTATCCAAACAAGCGTTAAAAAAAAAAAAATTTAGAAAATAAGAAGACGGTAACATCTACCACCTATTTACGAACATATTTCGTGCCTCCCTTCCTCTCGGAAAATTGCGTGCGAAGAGATACGAAAACGGCGCCTCTCAGCGGAAAGCTGACTGCCGCTTTTGCGGGGATATAATCGATAAGTCCGCGCGCGGGACGCGGCAAACAAGGGGCTCTTCCCCAGTAGAGTGTGTGTCCTTGACGGGTCATCGCGATCACTCACCACTTGGGAGAACTGGGCGTTGAGATCGTGCTTGTCGATGGTACAGGACGTTTTGTGCGTGTCCTCGAGATGAAGCTGCAGGACACGGACGTCCCGACAGGGGATGCCGCACTGAGGACACCTTTCGCCACCCTGCTGCTGCTTCGCGGATGATCCGCCCTCGCTGTCGCCGCCACCACCCACCCCCCCGCACGTACCACCGCTGCCGCCACCACTTCCATCGCCGGCAACACTTCCACCTCCTGCGGTTGGCGCTCCACCCGCGCAACCTCCGCCCACCTCCGTATCCACGACACCTGCGTCGTCCTCGCTACAGCCTGTAACACGCGCACACGTGGCACACGGTTTTTATATTTCACCTCGGCAGCGCGCCATCGCACAAAATATTATACACTGAGCCATTCAAGTACTGGCACTATTCAAGGTATACGCGTGTGTGATATTTCCAGGGTTGAATAAGTTAATGTTTTTTTTTTAAATTAAATTAAGTTAAAAGTTAATGGCTTATAAAATTAATAAAATTAAGTTGAACGAATAAAGAATGAACTTAATAAAAGTTAAGATTAAATTAATTTAAGTTTAAAAAAAGAGTTAATTTAAAAAAAAATTATCTTTGAGATCAGAATGACCTAATTTTTCTTAAAATGAGATTACTTTAAATAACCCTTACAAATATAGATTATTAGGCAAATATAATTTTATATCCATATGTAAGTTACTTATATATAATAAGAATCACCATAAGATGTGTTTGTCGAAATCTTGTGAGAGAGAAGGGTATTTGCGTTATTTCTCTTTCTTTAATCTTTATCGAACTTTCTTTGACTTCTGAAACGATTGTTCATGCATGTTTACGACTACATCTAGATATTTATTATAAAAAATATACGTAAAAATTTAAAAAATGGGTGAATGTGCAACTCTGTTCTACAACAATTCTTCTCTAAGACTCATTTCATATTTATGTTGCTGAAATATAATATTTGTGATATCTAAAATTAATGTGATTCAAATATAAACGGGAATTAACAAAATCTAGCGAGTCAATAAAAATTGGCTACCGTATGGTGTGATTCTTTAGAGTCTTCATTGAACTTTTTTAAACTTAATTCTCTAATGTTTAAGACTTTATAGAAAAAACATATTAGCATTAAGAAAGATAGAAAAATTTTTTAATTTAAAAAAAGTTAATAAATTGAAGTAATTAAATTAAATTAAAAAATAATGCATTTAAAATTAACTAAGTTAAATTTTAACTTTTAACGTTTCAATTAGTTACTACTCAATCTTGGATGTTTCATTTGTTATAATTTTATAATCAAGAAATATATAATCAATATTTCCGAAATTATCATTTCCTACTAATCCAAAGATATTCGGAATTCGATGTACTTTCTTAATCTTAATTTTATTCTTTCAAATTACTTTCTTAATCCTTCTTCATTCTTTCAAATTTAAATTAATTTTTATTGTTTTTGAAAAGAGAGTTGTATTTTAAATGCTAATATCGCTTTTTCCATCGCTTTAACGCATATGGAAGAAAACGTGTTTGATAACATAAATTTTGTAATAACAATAAAAAATAAACATAATTTCAGTGAATTCGATTGATAAACACAGGATATTATACGAGCAAACAGAATGATTTCTATGTTTATTTGTACAATAGAAATATTTGGCATAAAGTAGCATATTTTGGCATATTTTCAACGTCATAAATTAAACTTATTTGAATATTATTAATTTTAATTATCGGATAAAATTTGATTGATTCAATTTTTGTATTCTCAATGCAGATATCGCGAATGAACGATATGTTGATTGAAATCTGATACGTTTCCATCTTATAATCAGGAATTAAACCGCATAGATATAATTACGCTGACAATAAGATCGAATTATAACATTACGGAGAAATCTTCCATGTTTATTAATCGAATAAAATCCAATTCATATGAACATTTTTCACATCTTTGCCATATTAAAAATTATATATTTAAGTTGTAAGCGCGACATTCCAATTACTTCTATATATTAAAATATTCATATAAGTGATCCATTATTTTTAATTAAATGTTTCAATTTTAATTAAATGTTTATAAATGAGACAGAACTTTTATCAAATATCTCTAGCAGGAGAATTGACTACCAGCGAGATCTTGTATCAATTTTTACATGTCAGTACAGGTACCGAAGAAATATTGAGATGATAGTAATGGACCAAGATAATACTAAATACAGTATGAAATTATTGTATTAAATATAGACATGATGCTGCAAATATATTGTCGGTGTACTTTCTCAATACTGAATCTGTTTTGAATAATTTCACGGGGCAACAAAATTAAAATTTTTAAAAGTTGTTTTAAAAATATATATTGATAGGAATTTGATCTAATCTGAAAATAATCTCAAATTTGTTTCATTATTCACAATTCTTTTACAACAAAAAAATTAACTCTTAGAATATATTTTAAATATATTTAAAATATAAAATAAAAAAATTGTACAACTCGATTATTTAATTTAAATCTTATGTAAAATACTTAGTAGTTCCTTCTTCTTTTGCTAGAGAAGTCACGTCTATAATTTTTTTTGTGTCTTGCCGATTTTCACGATGCAGCATCCAATAATAACGTCCCATTCTCGTCAAGAGTATATACATTATTTTACCATGCAGTGTTAAATTCACATTTATATTTTGTAGAATATAACAAAATTAAACGTGTAAAATAATTATATGGCATAATATTTTTGTGTTTTTCGAATTTAACACTTAAAAATGCATCAAAAATATAATACGAACGTACTCAAAATCAAAATATAAAATTAATATAAAATTAATAAAATGAAATATTATAAAAAAAGATAATAGTCTTAAAAATATATTGTTGTTTTTTGCCTTTTTAATGCAATTTTTCTCAAAATTGTGACGTGATAGTTAAATTTGGACAGCGTATTCGTATTCAGCACACAAATAAGAATACGTTAGAAATAGCTAAAATAGTTAAAACAATTTTTTCCATGTGTAGACACAATAATGAAAATGTACTGATAATGTACTGTACTACTATTCAGTACTGATCTACACATTGGGCCATATCATTATTTTTTAAATATTGATTCAGTATCGAAATAGAAAACTCAATTTTCGGTATCAGTACTTCGGTATCAGTACTAGGATTCAATACTAGTCTACTGTATAAATCCATTTAGAATATTTCGCATACACATTATACTGTAGATATAATTTAAACAGCCTAATATCTAGTAATATCTAATAATAAATAAAAGATTACTCGAAATATAATCATTACCGCTATTTTGCATTAATTTTCAGCTACATTCTTATAGATATTAATCAGTAATCTATACATATATATTGTAGAAATCTGTGTGGTTCTCTAATTCTCGGAAATATCTTTATAATACGATGCTGTTATATCTGGAACATTCTTTACATAAAATAACAAAAATAAATAAGATTTTGCATATATTTGATAATAGAGAATGAAAAATAAATTATATAGAGAATAGAATTAAGCGTTTCTCATTTTGGACATGCAACTCTGCGAACAATACATACCGTAACACAATTAATCTTTAAAAGTTATCATATTGTTCATATTGAGTTAAATATATTTTAACGAAATTATTACACATGTTTAATGACATCAAATATCTATTAAAAAATTTATCCCGATCATAAATCCCGATTATAAATGAGATTCATGTTTTTTACAATTACATTGGCAGTAAGTTACATGTTTATTGAAAAATTAAATAGTTAGCAATAATTAAACTTGCTAATGTTAACTATGATTACTAAATATATCTAATGTACGATTAAAAAGTTTAGTTCTCTTGATAATAAATTAACTTCATTAAATGTTTAATTATTTATTAAAAACTTTATGTATCTATATGTTTATATTAATTCAGTTATTATTAATTATGAGAAATTACAAACTAACAAAAAGCTAATAATAAGTTTTTTTATAGATACCTTTAATTAAACAATTTAGAAATATATGATAATAATATAAAGGCAATAAGAATCAACGCTGGTTATCAATTAACAAGTAACATAACGGTCAATTTGAAGACAAACAAACTATAGTTTATTATATTACGAATAAACCTTACAGTTTATTGAGAATCTCAGCGTAAGCATGATTTAAGGTATCATGTAAATTTAGCCCATTGGTCTGTCGATGTGCATCATCTCCGATATCAATCGTTTGTTATAATAATTCTGTACATCTAGTATCTCTACATTTTGCCAATCAAAGTCATGATCGTTTTGCAACCTATGATCTGTAATCACCGAATGAGTGGATATTTGACTATGGATATGCTTTTGGTGTTCATAGGAAGCATCACAATCATAACAATTGATCTTGTAGACTACATTCCTTTTTAAAATTAATTATTTAAAGAATCTTTATGAACCTTAATAAACTGATTCAACTTATTTAAACTAAAAAAAGAAACCTTTTGGCAAATCCCATTAATTATATTCTTGAATTTATTCAATATCTCTTCTAAATACGGTATGGAAATTTTATCATTTAACCCGTTCTTTAGGTAAGTTGTTATTTGATCTTTTAGTTGAACAAGAATTCAACTTATTTATTAATGTTTTAACTCTTAAAACTATTAATTATATTTAACTAGTTAGATATTCGTAAAATTACATATCATATTTAGATTACGTGCTTTTTGTCATCGATATAACTATTGATGCTGCCGCTGCATCTTCGAAAGCCCGATCTATACATAAGACGCAGATCGGAAGTGAAAAAACGTATTTCAGATTGATAATAGGTCGCAGACTGCAATACGTGAGACGCGAAAGTTGAAATTCACCCAACTTCCTACGTTCTGCATCCTACAATCATATTATATTGTAATTAAAATACGTTAGGTTAGTTTCTAGTTTTGCGACTCTTGCGATCCGCAGGTCTTCGTACTGCGTCTCATGTAGATCGGGCTGAAGCGAGACAACGAAGTTCAGTGGCTAGGTATTCGGAATTCCGAGTTGGACCGCACGTGCAAGGTTGGCGGCGATCAATCAGCTACGCGTATCTGATGGCGAGTATCGGTTTACATGTGCGATGCGTGGAGTTAATCGTGACTACCTTCGGCAATTGCCAATACGCAATGGCTGGGTCACCACGTCAGTCGCATAATCCCCGGCATGACACACGTGCATCAGTGCGCACACGCATGTACGGAATGCGTACATACACTGGAAAAAAGACGCGTGCGCGATAGATATAATCGAATTGCGTGGATAGGGCGTAACACTAGAAGA